AGCCCTGCTGAATGGGGGGGCTTCGCACCCACCCACCACCCTGAACTAAAGTTGCCTTTTCTTTATCCTTCGCTGCTGTTTTCATTTCTTCCCCAAATCCCCCAAACTTGGGTGGACGTTTGGGTGCATTTCTCCTACTAGGAATCTCCCCTCTTGGTGTGTCACAAACCTTGTTTATTCTGTTTAATATGTCAGCAATTAACTAGCCATCGTCCCCAACAGCATATCCTGCTGGGTTTATTTGCACATCAGCAGAAGGTGCTGAACCAGGATGACGGGACCTCGGCACCTGAGCAACTGGTTTTCCGGCTGCGGTCGAAACAGGCGGAGCAAAAAGTTTCAGATAAAGGCTGGATAATTCCCCCTGGTTTCCTAATCTCCTGTTTAAATCTGGTTACGCTTCTCAACAGAGTCTTTACCAAGCTTTAGTTGAGCCATTTCCCCCCCAAATCGCTACTCGCCTTTCTGCCAAGCGAGGATCGCCTCTAGGGGACCAGGCAGCCACGCTCCGGGGAGCTGATTCTTTCAAAACTCAGGTTTGCTGGAGTCATGGCCCAATCCCAGCGTCTAAGTTTGCACCTGCTCTGAAATTAATCCAACATTGCGGGATAGTGGATTGTGGGAAAACCACTGTTAGGCCAAAACGGAGGCTGCAATTTTTTGCAAACGTCTGCAGCAGCAACGCATTGTAACAATCACTCAGAAGCTTGGGGCAAAAGGTAGTTTTTGCCGAACCCTCTTCCTGGCTCTGAAACAAAAGATAATATGTTTTTTCAATTTGCCCCTTTCCTGCCCGTGCATCAGGGGCTGGGAGCGATCGAAAGGGGTTCACGGACAAACAGAGCATCCGGCCTGCGAAGGATGTTGGGTTCACACGACCTTTTTAAACCGGAACCCATTTTCTGGGTCGGACTGATTGGATTTGCATAGCAGCGTGAAAAAAACAGACAAAAAACCCTAAACAAGGTGAATATTAACTAACTAAGCCTATTTTCCACATGCAGTCGCTGACTTTCCTACTGGCCCGGGTTAAGCGTGTTGTGTGAACCGAGCCTAGGTCAGTGAGGGTGTGACTAGCATCTCAAACTGCCATTTAATATATTTCTTTTCTTTGCCTTCTGAGCGGGCTGTTCCTGCACCAGGAAATGCTGATATATATTTTTTTAATCAGCAGGTTTTTGTTTGACTAACCGTTGGACCGCGAGGGGTGTTGAAAGCTTTTTTCCCCCACTGCGCAAAAGAAAGTCGTCAAACAAGGAAGCATTTGCTGCCAGCAGGTAACCCTCCCTTTTATGTACATTCCAAAAATATATAATATATAATTACCGCAGGGACAGCTTTTGAGGGAACGTCGATGCTGGAGGCGTTGATGGGCTTCTGGATGGGTGTCAAGCTAAGATTGGACTGTCGCTCGAAAGAGGTGACCCAATGTTTGATTCCTTGCATAACGCCCGTGCGGTCGGGTTAGACGTTCTCCAAAATCATTTCACGCTGATACGTCTGCAGACAAACCAGTGGCTTTATATTGCTGTCAAGATGATGGGGAGGAAGGGGGCTGATATATTTTAATTGACACGTTTTGGAGGTTGAATTCTGTGTCATAAGAGAGAACAGGTTTCTGCTCTAGAGGATATCAAGACAGACCAATAGCGTCAGGAGTCGAACTGTGGAGTCCTTGGTCTCTCTGAGCTTCGTTGTTTGATTGCAGACGTTTCATTACCCAACTAGGTAACATCCTCAGTGCCTTGGAAGGAGCAAAAGAAATGCAGTTTGCAGAAACCCACCGCCTAAAGATGCTTTTTAAAGGGACCCTCGCCGTCATCTTGCTTTCGGGGATCCTCCCCACCTACACCAAGGAATCCCGCAGCCACGTCTCTGTGATCCTCCTGGGGGCCACGGGGGATTTAGCCCAAAAATACCTCTGGCAAAGTTTGTTCCAGCTTTACGTGGACGAGGCCACCCACGGGCACACTTTCACCTTCTACGGGGCCGGTCAGAAGGCCCTCGAGCTGGGGCGGAAGCTGATGTTTGACCGCCTGAAAAAGCTGGCCTGCTCGCCAGAGGTGCCTCCCAACAGATGTGCCGTGTTGAAAGACCAGTTCTTGAAACTGACTGAATATCACCAGCTCCAAAGGGCAGAGGACTATGCCAGCCTTAGCCAGGCGATTAAGACCACCCTCGCCCAGGAAGATCTGGTGGAAACGGGCCGCATCTTTTACCTCTCCGTGCCACCGTTCGCCTACGCCGAAATTGCCCGACATATTAACAGCAGCTGCAGGCCGCCATCCGGAGCCTGGTTGCGGGTAGTGTTGGAGAAACCGTTCGGCCACGATTTGGGGTCTGCCCAACAGCTGGCAGACGAGCTCGCGTCGGTCTTCCGCGAGGAGGAGCTGTACCGTGTGGATCACTACCTTGGAAAGCAGGTGGGGGCCCTGGGCGAGGTCGGAGGAGAGTTTGGCAAGGCTTGACTCGTCAGCTGCAACATCTGGATGGGAAGAGAGAAGGGATCCTGGTTTGTTGGGGATTGAGCAAAAGAGCAGGGGGTCCCATTTTTTAAGACGTATGGCCTTGGCCTCTGCCAGCATCTCTAGATGCGTTGAAGTTCAGCTCCCATCATCCCCAACCAGGGTACCTTGTAGGATTGTTAAGAGGTTGGGAACAATTACGGGGTGTGCCCCGAGGACAGGAAGAGGATTGGTCTGGAAATGTCTTTTTTGACCTCCTTAGAGTAGGAAGGGGGTGATTTTATTTAGTTTGGGGTTCCCCCCCATTGTGAGCTAACCCCCTGCTGTTGTGTATGCGTGTGAGTGTGTCAGCGAGTGAGTGTGCAAAAAGACAGAACAGGAAACGACGGTGCCAGGAATCCAAGGTTGTCCGTTCGATTTTGTTGAGCAAGGCTTTTCATCTCGGCCTCCATCCAAACTCCCAAATTTCTCCGCGAGGCTTTTAATTTGATAACCTGGCAGTGAAGCGTGCAATTTTCACTCCTCTTCAAGTTTTCCCCCCTGCTTTTTTCTCGTCTGAGGAGGATCCAGCTGTTTTGCAAGGCAGCACATTTTACCAGGCGAGGATGGAACGAGATCGCGGGGAAAAGAATTGGGGCGCTGGAGAGAGATCTTGCCTGAAATTTGAATAATTTGGCTTTAACTAGGGGCTAAGGGTTGGGATTTTCAGGGCTGTAGAAATAAAAAGAAAAGTGGGCCGCTGAGTACGTGCAGAGGGCATTTAGGATGAAAACTGGGGTTTGTTGGAAAAGCACAACAGGAGCCTGAAATTTTCTGGATGACTTGGAGAGTTTTCTCTCCTCCCCAAACACCCACTTATATTTTTGTAAATAATGTAGAATTTTAGCTCCCCGAATGCTTAAATAGAGTTCTTAGCTAATCAGAGTCCAACTCCCAACCAATGAGGCATATTTCTCACGTGGGATTAGAAAACCATTCTTGCTCATTTGCTCCCCAAAATCCTGGACAATATCCTTGACTATCCAAATGCTCGTTTTATAAAGGATGGGGCCAGCCATTGGGGTCTTCGATTCGAAGAGGATTTGATTGGGTCTTTGAACTGAGTTGCAAAACTGACCCGAGTTGGACGTCTCTGCAATTTTGCACAACTTGCTCGCAGGATCCCTAGAAGAAAGGGGCCCAGGGTGTGTTTTTCTCACAATATGTGGGTTCCTGCAAGTTTCCCCCCTTCTTCTCACCCTCTTGAAGGCGGTGGCTCACATTTTACCCTTCCGGGACCAGAACCGACGGCATTTGGACCCTCTCTGGAACCGGCATCACGTGGAACGCGTGGAAATCGTTTTGAAGGAGACGGTGGATGCGAAAAGTACGTCGGCGTTGATTGGGGATGGGAGGGAGAAATCGGAGGGAGGCAGGCTTAATATTACTATTTTATGATTGATTTAAATCGATTCTCTGGGAAGACAATAAGCATTACCGACTTCCTACGGTTCGCCTGGACACCTGACGTTCGCGGCTGGCCTGCCTCTTCTCCCTTTAGTTTTCTTCCTCGGTGAATTTCTTTTGATTCCTTTTTCCATTTAATTCCTTTTTCCATTTAATTCCTTTTTCCATTTAAGCTAGCTGCCCCCGGTTTGGATCCGCTGCTTCCAGCAATTCATGAAACCCGATTTTTTTGTTTCCTCTCGAGCCGCTGAAGCCTTTCTTTGCAGGCCAAACCCCCCTTGCGAAAATGGCCCTGTATTTTATTTTATTGACTTTTTATTTTATGGGCGCCAGTCGCTTTCAACGATCGAGTGGAATGCCAACGGCCTGACTCTGTAGGACAGGACTTCCTGCGGGGTTACTGAAGTCGGCCCTTTATTAAAAACCATGAGGACTAGTAACTTAACGTTAATTACACAGGAAGAGTAATGAATGGCAGAGCGCCTTCATTTTGCACACAGGAAGTCCTGCCACCTCCACAGAGCCGGGCTGGAAGAGAGAGAGGATGGGAAGCCTATTTTAAACCTTGGGAAGTCATTGTCATTGGCGAAACTGAGCTAGGAGATGGAGCGATGCTGTTTTCTCGCACCCGGCACCCAGGTCTCACCTGGGGATAACCCCCCACTGGCTTCCTTTTTCCCGCAGCCTCAGAAATGTGTCTGGGCCATGTGTGGTACCAGCAAGGCATTAATGTTATTAAAAGCCACGATCGCCCTTTCCCCAAAAGAATGATTTTAGCTCGGCAAATTCCAGGTTGGTTCTGGGGGCGGAATGGCTGGGGGAGCAAGGAGGAAATTCTCCGTGCCTTGCAAAACTCGGGTTGCGCACGTGCGATCGCTCTTGCTGAAGGGCAGAAAAACAGGCCGTGCGTTTTGCTCGCGCTAGAGCCCCGGTGAACGTTTTTCCTCCTCTCCGGCTCGGAAGAGATTTCCTCCTCCTCTTTGGAGCCGAGAGACGAATAGCTGCTGTTGTCCCCTTGCTGAAGGACGCTGCAGCAGGAGAGCCCTGCTAACATCGCTGACCTTGGTGGTTCCCAAAGGCTAAGCAGGGACAGGCCCGGGTAGTCCGTGGATAGGAGGCCACCAGGTCATCCCACGCGAGGGTGGAAAGGCCAGAGAACCATTTGGGAAGAGAGCGAAGGGGAACGGTTTCTCTGCGGCGGCCGAGCGGGTCGAATAAGTCTGCAAATGGTGACCTAAGCCGGGAAGGCTTTTCATTCTGCGGATTAATAAGTCCCTTCTCGTCGCTTGGTCCAGATCGCACCGAGTTTTACGAAAAGTACGGGGTCCTCCGCGACATGCACCAGAACCACCTCACCGAGATACTGATGTCGCTCGCCATGGAACTGCCAGCCAACATCACCAGCTCAGAAGACATCCTCCGAAGCAAGCTTGGCACGTTCGCCCGCTTGCGGAGCCTGGAGAAGACCAGCGCCGTGATTGGCCAGTACGAAGCGTACAGCGCCCACGTGAGGGAGGAGCTTCAGAAGGGGCGGGACTATTTCACCAGGACGCCAACGTTTGCAGGTAAATCCGCTTCGCCGCCTTTTGGAGATGCCGGAAGCAAAAAGCAAGCCTCTTTATTGTTAGCAAGCCCCGAGATTCCCTCTTGTCCGTTTTTTAGCGTCACAACAACCCTGTAAGGTAGGTGCGAGGTTCCGGTTCGGGCCCCAAATGACCCACGGAGCATCTTGGCTCGAGGGGGGGAGCCAGTAGGAGTTTGGGCCTCCCTCCAGGCCTTATCTCATGGCAACACCGTTTGAGTTCTCATAAATTCAGCACGCCCTGCATCGGAGCAGTGTGTTTTGACTCCTTTCCAAGGCTGAGTCGTTTAAAAAAAGAAAAGAGAAGGCAATTTTCTTGGAAGGGTTTCAGACTGCTGAGAGAAGAGGAGGAAAAAATAAAAGGAACCGCGATCTTCAAAACAGTTAAATGTTTATTTACTTGCTCTGTGAGTGGGGTGAAAATCCAAGTGCAATCGTCTGTTTGCGGGGGGTCTAGCAAAAAAAAGAGGGAGATACACTTAGGGGAAACGAGCATAGGGGGCTTAGATTTCCCCTGCTGACAGCCCTATCGAGACACACGCCTGATAAGCGGCTCATGGTTTTGCTGGCTGGGGATGATGGGGTTTGTAATCAGCCCCTGTCTGGGTTGGGTCTTGGGTCAAGGGAGTTGAGCAGAATCGGAAAACCATGGTGCGATTCGTCAGCTGCGGTTGGGTCTATGAACTACAACTCCCACGAACCTGGGCTTCCCTGCCTTGGGGGCGCCTGGGGTCTGTGGTCAGAAGTCCTGCAGCCACCCGTTCTCTGTCGCTTTAGGGGTGCTGGTTCATTTGGACAATCTGCGCTGGGAAGGGGTACCGTTCGTCCTCGTGTCCGGCAAAGCCCTCGATGAACGGGTCAGCTACGTCCGCGTCCTCTTCAAGAACCGGGCGCACTGCATCCAGATGGAGAGCGCCTGGGACCCCGAACACAGCCGGTGCAAGCCCAGACAGGTCATCTTTTACATCGGTCACGGAGAGCTGAATTCCCCCGCTGTCCTGGTCAGCCACAACCTGTTCAAGCCAGCCATGCCGCACGGCGGCTGGAAAGAAGTCCTGGATCGCCCGCAGCTGCGCCTTTGGGGTCAGAGCCTCTCCGATTATCATGTCTACGTCCCCGTAACCGAGCGGGACTCCTATTCCTTCCTGCTCTCCGCGATCTATCACGGGAAGAAGGAATCCTTCATCACCACGGAGGATCTGCTGGCCTCGTGGGTGTTTTGGACCCCCTTGCTGGATCAGCTTAGCCACGAGTCGCCCCGGCTGTATCCCGGCGGCCAAGAAAACGGGCACCTCCTGGACTTCGAGATGGACGGTAAGGAAGTGGCTTTTGTGGCCAGGGAGACGCTCGAGGTGATCGACGCCGAGGAGAAGCACACGGCCGACAGATTCCAGACCCTGCTTTCCACGTTTCGAGAAAGCCCGCTGATTACCGCCTGGGCGGACGAACTCGTCGGCCGTCTGGCGTCCGACATAGAGGCTGCGGCGGTGAGTGCCGTCGGGAGGAGCGGGGAATTCCACTTGGCGCTTTCGGGCGGGTCGAGCCCCTTGGCCTTGTTCAGGCAACTCAGCGGGCATCACTACGGCTTCCCCTGGGGGCAGACTCATCTGTGGCTGGTGGACGAGCGCTGCGTCCCACTCGCCGACCCGGAATCGAATTTCGGCCACCTGCACCAGCACCTGCTGCAGCACATCCGGATTCCTTATTTCAACATCCACCCGATGCCGGTGCACCTCAACCGGAGGCTTTGCGTGGAGGACGACCGAGGCCCGGAGCTGTACGCCAACGAGATCGGGGCCTTGGTGGCCAACTCCAGCTTCGACCTGGTTGTCTTGGGAATGGGCGTCGACGGGCACACGGCCTCTCTCTTCCCGCGCTCGGCGGGCCTCGAGGGGGACCGGGACGTGGTGTTCACCGAGAGCCCGGTGAAACCTCACCAGCGCATGAGCGTCACCTTGCCGCTTATCAACAAAGCCAAGCGGGTGTTGATCTTAGTCATGGGGAAAAGCAAGCATGACATTGTGACCGTTGTCAGTCGGGCAGGGAACGAGCCCCAGAAATGGCCGGTGTCGGGCGTGAAGCTCAGAGACGGCCAGATCTCCTGGTATGTGGACTATGAAGCCTTATTAGGGTGATCTTTGAGGGGCTGTGGGTCGCCCCTCACCTGGCCTTTCTCAACAGAAATCCTTCAGGGGACGGTGTGAAAATTGGCTGGGGGTTTAAGGAGAAAAGTGCCATTTTTTTCCTGATTGGACCACCCCAAACTAGGCTGTGGTTCTTCTGATTAAATCATCTCGTGACAACCAGCCAGATTTTCTCATCGGCCCGGAAAGAGCCCAATTCGTTGTTTGCCAGGACCTGTGATGGGGGGATCCTCTGCATTTGTAGGCTTCCTTGAAAGAGTTTGCAGTCCTTGCTGCCCTCCCCTCCCTTGTTAATTTATCTAATTCTTCTTCATGGCCTTCACTGCCACACCTTGTGGTGCTGAGTTCCCCTGGCTAAGATTTGGATCTGAAAGCTTGCCAGCGGGGAATTGGAGACGGACGAAATATTTCCTGGTTCTCTCTACTGCCCTAGTCAAGTTACAACTTGGCTGTGTGCCTCGGTTCCCCCCTCTGGAAGAAGGGGAGTTGTAAAACTACCTACCTCTCAGACCGACCTGCAGTTTAATCCCAGGTAAAAGATATATATTCTGCACTGCAAAGGCGTCTGGCACCATCAGTCCAGTTTCGGAATAAAATTGGGCAAACTGGGTGTAGCGATGTTCGGCTAAGGACCGACTTCAGGTTTATGAGATCTTGCCACGCGTTGGTCGCTCCTCTTGAGAATGGAAAAATGCAGACCGTTTCAAAGACCGTTTGGCCTGTGTTTTCTTAGACGTTTTGCTGAGTTCAAGAGACCGCCCGTCCAGACAGAGGTGGGCTTTACAGACTCTGCTGGTGACCCTCTGATTTAAATCAGCGTAGTTCTGCTCGAGATCGCAGATTTAGTCTGCAGTCTGGTTTTTCTGTGGGGTCCAAAACTGACTTGGGGTGAGTGGAAAAACAGAGGAATTACACTCTACCACCAGGTGGTGCCATTTCCTAATTCTCAGTGAGTCCGAATTTTTATTTTTCAGGATAAAATATCCTGCACAAGGGTGGGAAGAGCTTCTCCCCAGTCAACAATGCACCGGTGGGGGTGATGGGAACTGTAGTCTGACATCCCTGAAGGACACTAACTTACAAAAGGCTACCCCAGCATAAAAAACAGTAGGGATCAAACCTCATTTGCTTTTTCTCAGTTTAAAACCAGAGATGACTGTGTTTGGTTGAAAGGAACGTCGACTCACGCAGGGACACGCTTGGTGAGCATCTTCAGTTTCGTCTAGAGCAGTTGATCATGCAGAGACGAGCCAGCAACCACCTCTAAAACCAGGTTCTGCTTATTTCTGCCTGAAATCTGTTCTTGCAGCACTGAGGGTCAATGAGTCAGTCGGTCTGGGAATTATTGCAATAACAAGAATGTGCCTTAAAAAGCTACTTCCTGCCATGGTGTTTTTCAAACATGGCAACTTAAAGGTGGGTGGACTTCAACTCCCAGAAATCCCCAGCCAGCATGGGGAATTCTGGGAAGTGAAGTCCACCCACCTTAAAGTTGCCAAGTTTGAAAAACATTGGTTTAAACAGATGTTTTCCACCTGGGATTTTGAATACTACTGATGTTTTTAAACTGAATCTCCTTGTTTGTCCAAAAGAATCAATGTTCAGTATTTTGTACACCTCAAATAAGTTTTAAAATTTTGTAAAAGAAAATGTCACTGTCGTAATAAATCGTTTGCTCTTGTATTAAAGGAGAAGCGCTGCGTTTGCTGGGCGTGCATTTGGGCTTTGCTCGTGGTAGACTGCCTGCGGCCAGGGAGGCTCTGTTTGGGTCCTTGCGATGAGGGTCGGCTCAGTTGCAGTAAGCCTGTGCATGCGTTGTGTGCGTGAAGGTCAGCAAAATGCAGTTTCCTTGAGTTGGATTCGTCACGGAGAAGGTTTGCTCAATCCCAGCGCGCTGGTGGGTCAACACGAGGCTCCAACGTGGTCAGAAGTTAGGTGAAGAAAGGTTAAGAAAACAGAACGGGGTTTGGCGGAACGCAGCGGTCCCGAAGACGCAGCTGCTTGGAGATAAGAAAGAACAAAACCGGTTGTGCCAAATCGAGCGAAGTGGAAGAAACCTCTGATGCTGGAAAAGGGCTGGCTGGCTGGTGATGCCCAGCTGGGGTGGCAGGGCCGAGCTGACTAGCAATGCCTGTTTTTACCCGTCCCCAGCTGGCTGGGGACGATGGGAGTGTCACTCCGGGCGGGCAGCCTTTGCTCTCCGTCTCGTTCTGGGAGTGGGGCCCGGATTGGCACAAACGGGGAAGGGCAGGACCTGTTTCGCCTTCCCCCCAAATGCAAGATTTATTTTTTTTAATTTTTTTTTATTTATTGGGTTTCTCTCCCGCCCATCTCCCCGACAATAGGGGACTCTGGGTGGGTTACAAAGACATATGAAGATACACGTGAAGCTGGGGCTGTCGTTTTTGCAGGCCTGTCTAAGGCCTTAAACCAGGAAGAAATGCACCTTTTTAAGGGAAAGAAAAAGGTGGTTTTCCTCACTTCCTAGGAGAACAGCTCAGCCCCAGTTGCAAGGACTAACAAGTCTTATGGCTTATTCTTTGAGCGATGCTGGGCTCGGTAGATTCCACTTATGTCTGTAAAACCCTGCTGCAACCATGATTAACACACCATCCATAAAATGGGCATAATATATATATCTACTTCCCTGCCATTGCTCTACACCAGACTTCCCCAACCCGGTGCCCGCCATAGTTGTCCCCAATTCCTGTTGATTTAACATTGGCAGATAGACTGCCTTGAAGCTGGAGGTTTTGCTAAGGAGAGCAGCCCAGCAGTTTGCTAAGTGTCTTGGGGCCCACCTTGGAGGGCTGGTGGGCAGGTAACGCTGGAAAGGGAAGCATTTTTGGAAGAAAAGAATATTAAGGCAACAAATAAGCGATGAATACATTTAATAACACTTGTGATTATATGCTGTATGGAGAGTTGCCACCCGCTAACAGCACCCTGCCATGTTTTCTTCCCAAATCCGTTCGCACGGGACTAGAAACTTAACCCCCCCTTTACGTTTAACGCTTGCAAACGTGCAGCCCGATCAGTTCACGTCTGCCCTTAATATTTCCAATACAGTACGGGGGAGTTTTGGTTTTGCTTCAGGGTTAACACTGAAGCGTGCTTTTCAGCGGGAGGAAACCTTAAGAGCCGCCGGTTCTTTTAATACGACTCTGCCACCGTTCAGTGCCAAAAGCAGGGAAGGCGGGGGGGGGGGGGGG